TGTTGAGTGAGTCCATATGACTCAGGTCATATGCCCATCTGTGAGCCAATCACTGTGCCTTGGTTAGATGGGGTACTATGACAATCCTCCTGGGTCACACACCCATTTCTAGGGTGAGGTGTCTGGACTGTGGTTAATTAAGGAGGAGACTGACACTACAAAGGAATCAGGAGAATAGGATTGGAAAATATAAGGGCAGACAAAATCCACAACTACTACAGTCCAGTAGGGAGCCCAAGTGGGGAGTTACTCTAATTTGGATCTTGAATGTCCCCTAAAGGCCCAGTGTTTAAAGGATTCATCACCAGCCTGTGGTGCTACTGGGAGGTGGTGGAATCTTTAGTAGGTGGAGGCTAATGGAAGGAAGTTAGGTCACTGAGCACATGCCCTTGAATCAGCCTTGAAAAATGCCAGCCCCAATCACCTTGTCTTACTTGCCATTACAGAGTAGCTACCCAACAAGAGAACGTTCAGTGAAGTGTAATCTTCTGCGCGACACTGGCCATCACTATGGTAACAGCCAGCACTTATGTTTTGGTTAGGTATTATTTTTTAGGAAACACAGGTGGTACCAGAGGCCTGGGAATAAATGAGATTACCTACTAGAATAAGAAGGGAAGAGGACAGGTTGTCTTGTAAAATGAAGAAAAATTTTATGTAGCAAATGAATTTTCTAAGAATATTTTAGTAGTTTCTGGCATATGAGGAACAAACACATGTTTTTAAAACAGATACCTGTAGAGCAGTTACTATGTTTCAGGCACTGTTCCAAGTGTTTTGGAAGTCTCTATGCATTTAATTCTCATAGTAATTCTATTAAGTAGATACTGCTCCTATCTCCAATTTACAGATGAGGAGACTGAGGCTCTGATTGGTTAAGGCTGTTGTTCAAAGTCACACAGATAGTAACTCAGACAGTCCATGTTCACACTAAGAAGTCTGGCTTCAAGGTTCTCATGAATAAGATTTCATGCCATTGAAGGGATTCCTAGAGAATGTGAAATCTTTGTCTCTTTACCCTCTCTCCAATTCCATAACACTCCCAGATTGTCACCTGCTACCTTGGATTTGTATGGAGTGTGCACATGTGGTCTGTCTCCTCTGAGACCATGTCTCTCAGGATGAAAACCGAGAATGTTGAACTGTGGAGGTTAGTGGCATTAACTCAGGGGGTGTTTGCCATCAGGAGAAACAGATGCTGTTTAAGCCCAGAAGAAATGAGTGTTTGCTCCAAGCTCTGCTTTAGAAAGCCTCTTTGTTTTATGACTCTGGGTGCAAGCAACCCTTTTAATTTTGTGTTTTGGATTCCAGCCATAGGAGGCCTTCTTTAATGTAGCAGATGGCTGGAGACAGGCGAGCCAGGTTCCTACACTCTATATCAAGCTGCCTTCCCTAGAGAGAAGTCTCCTAATTATGTTGCTCTGAAAAAGAAAAAAGAAGATAGCTTAAAATGGGCACATTAAAGGTGCATCATGTGTAAAGCAATCTCTGTCTTAAGTATCTGCACACAAGTAGAGATCAGAAGTCTTTTGAGAATCTTGATGAAAGCATTGGGATTTTTCTACAAAAGAATTGTACATAGGTATGCATGGAAACATGTTCACAATAATTGCAAGAAAGCTCTTGGATTCTCTGGTATCAAACCTGGAGCTTCAAGGAGTCTGGCTTCTGGCTTCCTGTGCTTGCCTTTTTTAAACTTGTCTTTTTTTTTCTCTCTCAGTATGTTACAATTCAACTTTTGAGTTGTAAAAATAAGGGGGCTTATTAAGAAAGGATTTCACATGAGAACAGCAAAATTTTACTAGAAAAAAATCCTTTCAAATGCTCTAGAAAACACTTTCATGTAGTCACTGGTTGACACAGAATTTAATTCATTCTCCTACAGACTAACATGAAGATTCTTACTAATTGTTCTGGTGATTTTTTTTTCTCTTTCTAGATTGTACACTATGTCTTTGTGCGCCATTTTTTGGACCCCCTACTCTTCTTGAAACTCTTCCCTGTTTAACTCTGGCTTCGGTACAAGGGTGTGGGGGGGGGCAGAGGTCTTTGTGATGTATTTCACTGATGCTTCTATACTGGGAGATGCCTCCAAATATCATTGCTTTCTTCCAGTTCTACTACACACATGGGAGTTATTTAGGGAGAACTTTCTGAGCTATGGCCAAGCGAGGAATTGAGATATTTGTTAAGGATCTGCAAACCCAAACCAATATGCCCAATTATCTTAGATTTAAAAATAAAACTTAGAAAACACAAACTTAGATAATTATTCCAATTCCCACCATTTCCTCCACATTCTACCTTTCCTGAAATGTGCCTCATCTTATATATGGAAACCTCAAGCCAGGAGTAGGACATCTTATATATGGAAACTTCAAGCCAGGAGCAGTCAAACATTTAGCTAATTCATTATATCAAATTAACAATTTAAGCACTTACTGAAGATACTGAAAGAAAAGGTTGTCCTTTCTAAACACGAACGAATGAAAGAAAAACTATTTAGGAAATAAAGCAAGGTTTTCAGCCTCAGCACTATTGACATTTTGAGTTGGATAATTCTTGGTAGAAGGAGGGTGTCTTGTACATTTTGGGCCTCTACCCACCAGGTCCCAGTAACATTGCTGTCCTATTTGTGATAGCCAAGAAAGTTCTTCAAGCTACCAGATATGTCCTGGGCCACAGTTATCCCTGGTGAGAGCTACTGGCCTGAACTATCCTGGAATAGATTTCTTTACAAATAAAGTAAAATTGAGTATGGAAGCTGCTATAATCTGATCTCAATCAGCTGAGAGGTGAAACTGGAAAAGCATTTTGTCTATTTTGATTCCCTTCTGATTATATCCATCTGCTCAGATTGTTCATTTGCTTTTAGATTCACTTGATTGGCAAAACCAGAGACTTCCTTCTTCCATTCCTATGACTCTGGAAAGCCTGGTCATTTGTTATTTGCTAATCTTCTTGACTACTAACGTATATAGATTGTGAGCTTCTGATTTTTTGTGCTCTTTGAGGTCTGAGTAATTTCTCAGTCCTTTGGAAGGCTTCTGTTGGTTGCTAGTCTCCTTTCCTCTCTTCTATATCACTATCTCTTTCAACTAAAGACCTAAATTGAGCCCACATAGTACCTAGGAGAGGCTGGAGTCTGTGGTTGATTTGATCACTATGTGGACACACAGTTCAGGAAGCAAAACTGTTGGCTTTAGGATACAAATGTGATTCTGAAAAAGAATCTTGTAACCACAAGTTACTCTTACATATATGCAAACATTTTGTTTGTGGAAAGATTTTACTGGCTGTTTGAAATAAGGAGGGGCCGTAATGTACAAAATATTTAAACCAAACTGTTACATTCTACAATGTTCAACAAAGCCCTCTGCAAATACAGGTTTTGAAAAAAGGGCATCCTCCAAGGCAGGGTTATAGGCACTTCTGGGAGCCATAAACCCATGCAGGCTCCAGAAATATGTGCCTTCCAAGGGTTGGAAAGTTCTGAATTAACAACAAATAATCAGTGAGTGTGACAAAGAGTTAAAGTACACAGACTTTACTTTCACAAAGTTTATGGTGTTGTAAAGAAGTTTAAGATGTAGACCTGAGATTGCAAACTGATGGCCAGCAGGCTAAATTGGGACCATGGGTTTGTTTTGTTTGGCTTGTACAGTGTTGGCCTCCCGATCCTCTAAGAGATGGGAAGGAAGAGGGACAGGAGGAGCAGGAAGGGGGAAAGGAGGGGCGGGGAAGGGAGAAGACAGAGAAAGGTTGCTAAACAGATAACAATTTTTTTCCCACAAAAATACAGATTTCCATCCTCCTTTGAAAAAAATTAGAAGATCTGTCACACTGGGCCCTTATTCCTATATTTCCTCCTTGTGACTATTAGAGTAGAACAGCAGCTGGCCCATTCCTGTGTCAGCTGAGATGACACTTGGTCATGGAGACTGGCAATAAAGAGGACGAGAAATTGTCCATACAGTAGTTTGAAGGTAGATTTAATAGGACTTAACAGATTGGACTGGTGTATGAATGGAAGGATTAAAACGCGATTCCAATTTTGATTTTTATATATTTAAGTAAGAAAACTTAGAATATTGAAAAATCAGCATGACCTTGTAAAATTCAAAGACAATTATTTAAAACATTTCCTCACTTGTACTTTCCAAGTTGGGCGCCCTAGGTTGTACTATAGGATATTCTGGGAATGCTGACGCTTTTAGGAATTTGAAGGGAAAAGCATGTAGAGAAAGAACCCTAGTTACTAAGACAAAAAAAACCAAGAGAAGGGCCGGGGAGTTTAGCTCAGTGGTTTCGCCGCCTGCTGCCCAAGCACAAGGACCCGAGTTCGATCCTCGATATCAAAAACAAACTAACAAAAACCCCCCAAGAAACAGGCTGACGGGCTGAAGGATGTCCCCTATGGATGTTTCTGTGGCCCCCCTCCCCGAGCCTGACTACTAAGTGAGCTCCCTTCTCCAGGAGGTGGAGGGGCGGGTATCTGGACTGACCGGGTCAGTCACAAGCTGGGCAGTTGTGCTCTTGGAACTCGAGGCTCCAAGATAGCCCTGTCGGGGCGGCTTTATGGTTGCATTCAGTTAGAAACTAAATAATGAGTTCAGAAACTTGTTTCGAAATTACTTTCGCACAGAAAAAGGGCTCTCTTCATTCAGATTTATATTACAAAACAACAAAGCAGCTAAGCTGTATCTGAAGAGGTTTTTGTTTACATTTTATGGCAATCTCCAATTGTCCATATCAAGGACATCTACTTTTTAAAAAGATTGTAATACGGGTTCAATTGGTTAGGGAGCTACTAAATGCCTAAAGCCGATTCCCGCGCTCAGGCCTGGCCATTAACCGGAAGCCTCCAGCTGATCGGAAGTCGGGGTTTGCAGGCGTACTGCCAAGCGCGGAGACTTTCTAGTCTACTAGTGTAGGGCCGCGCTTCACTCCGCTCCGCAGCGGTCACTCGGCCGTGGTGCGCATGCGCGGACCCCACGGACGCCCTCCCAGGCTCCCTCCCCTCCCTCCGTCATCCGGGTCCTGGGCGAGCGGGAGCCTTGCGCGTGTCCTGCGGCCGAGCTACTAATAAAGTTGCAAAGCGGAGAAGCGCCAGAGTCGGGAGAGCGCACCAGCCGGCCCGCGAGTGAGTGAGGGACCCGGGGCGGGCAAGCGGTGCCAGGGCCTGTAAATTCCGTCCGGACGCGGGTCTCCCTCTGATCCCGGCGGCTGCACTCGGGGCGCGGCGGGGGCGTTCGGCCGCGGGCGGGGCGGAAGCGGCCCGGGGCTTGGGAGCCGGAGGTAGGCCTAGCTTGGCCTGCCGGGGTCCAGGCGGGCGGGGACCGAGCGCCCGGCCTGCGGCGGAGGCCTCGCCTGTGTCCCCCTGCGTCCTGAGGCGTGGCCGAGGCTTGCCTCCGTCCCGCCTCCACCGTTCCGGCTCGGACTGTGGAGGGAGGCGTTCGGGACGTCTTCGAGGGGCTCCCTGGGCCCGACTTCTGTCCAGTGGAGCAGTTTGCTCTCCTGCCGCATCTAAGCACCACTCTCGATACACACCCCTGATAGGATTGCCTTGCTCGACTGAGCTTGTTCTGCTGCACGCAAAGCTGTCCAATGGCCTGAGGAATCCGTGCTGCTGTCGCTTTGTGTTTCAAAGATAAGGATCCACGCTTATCGGTGGGAATTACACCGGGCAGTGGTGACCTGCTACTGCGCTCAGCTGGTACTAAGATCTGGTTTCCACTTACCATGTCATTTTTTCAGCTTTACGAAGATTTCTTAGGCTTTATGTAATCTTGTTTGAGTTGCAGAAGAAAATGTTCAAGCGGTGTCTTTTTTTCTCATGTTCCGATCCTGTTTAGCTTCTTCACTTCAGTATCAGTACTCAAATTCATATTCGTCTTTTTGTCCTCCACCACCCCCTTTCAGCTGCTGTTATTACGTGAAGTTTGGAACCTAAGCTTTGAAAACTCTCGTGTGGCGCCTGTCTGAAGTCGGGCATGCTTAGTAGCCAAAACAGATTTTGACTGCAAAAAAGAACTGAGGCGTGCATAGTCGGGGCATTTGGAGGTTTTCTCAGCTTTCTAACCAAATGCTCCAATTCTGCTTTTGGTAGGGTATTGGAGCATAGAGCCTAGACCAGGTGGAGATTAGGAATGTCCGAACACCCTAAGCCAGATCTTTGTCTTGATTGTAAAGACAATGTTTCTTGACCAGCTGGGGGTTGGGGGAGGAGGGCGCTTGCGGGGGGAGCATTCCTTGCTGCTTTTGCATTTAAATGGGTGTGGTTGAAGTTTATCTTGTTTACCTTATCATTGTGTGGAAAAAAGTTTTGAAATCTTGTTGGATTTGTCACAATATGCCTGTTGCCTAGCCCTACCAAAAGTGTTCTTATCTAGCGACCACACTGGATAGGTGGTGGCATGATCTCACTGAAGTAAAAGAAAGTGGGCGCAAGAGTAACTTTTTAAAAACGTAGAGTACTTGAATTTCCTTACGGAACCTGAATTACTACTGAGAGATTTAATTTTAAGTTTTAATTTGAAAGCGGAAAGGTTGAAAATTTTAGTCCCAGTAGATTTAGTAACATTTCCAATATCATTCTGCTAGATGCCAATGAGGTAGTTAGTGTACGAGGAGGGGAAATGGTACACTGAATATGACAATTTCACTTTTACTGATCTGAATATCATTATGAAATTTGCACATTCCATTCTGTAAGTAAGGATTTGTTTGCACATCTCTAACAAAGTATATTATTTCTTTTACTTTTTTGGTAATTTTTTTTCTCTAAGTTGAATCCTCAGTACACATAGAAAGCAACTCAGAAGACACAATTTAACAAAATCTAACCTTTGTAAAGATGATACATATTATGGTTAGATTTTTAAAACTTAATATTTGATTATGATTGGTTGCATCATCACCGTACCATCCTGCTTTCCTTCCCTCTCTACATTGCTGTTCGCTTAATCCTTTCACTGGTGCATCTTTGTGTTTCTGTCACTTTCAGATTGTAGCCAAGATAAGCAGTAAAAGTTAGATGAACCTTTCTGACTTTTCCTCTTGAGTTTTAAATGCATCCATATGATACAGTCCAGATAAAAGGAGGAAGAGAGCAGCAAACTGAAAAAAGAATAAAATATTTTTGTATGTTCTGTACAGATCTAGTAGTAGTATTTGCTTGTCTGGTTCCCTGTGGTAGGCGCCAGAGAAATGGGTAGATTGATATGTGTTGCCTTTCTTTTCCCTCTGGCAAAGTCAGCTATTAATTTCAGTGGGAGACTGTGGCAGAATGTTGTTACTAATGAGGTTTAAATCATATTGTTGTTTACTGTCGGTTATGTAATGTGTTGCTGAGAGTATTATTAAAAGTTGCTTTCTGTAGCAAGGTAGAGAGGCAAGTAAATTCTGCTTACCGTCTTCACTTGGTTTTAATTCTTGGCTAAACCTGAAGGCACATTAGACTACAACCACAATTACACCTGGCCAGCCTGTTTCCTGTTTTCATCATGAACCCAAACATTATGATTTGCAGTGATGATCTTTTTTGTCCTTTGCATTTAACAGAGGCAGTATTTTTTTCTTCTCTATGGAAAACAGATTTGTAACTTGGTCAAATCAAAGATTTCAATGTTTTGAAGACTACATAGTAAAATAACACTTTATTTCTTAGTAACTTACATTGAAATGCCATATAAAAATCTATTTCATATATATTCTTTGGTTGTGGCTTATGTAAATTTTTTTTTTTGGGTACCGGGGATTGAACTTGGGTCCTTGCGCTTGCAAGGCAGGCAGTGAAACCACTGAGCTAAATCCCTGGCTATGTAAATTTTAATATTGCCAGTAGCTTGTAGAGACTTTGAATTAAGAAAGCCTTTTTTGTTTATGACTTATCAGTGTTTATTATTACCAGATGTGTATGTTGGTTGGGGCAGTGAACCCCCACATCCGGGTGAATTTCTGAGCTGACTTGAATATATTTTAGGATGTTGGTGCCTTTTATCCCCTGGATTATCGGTCTTCTGTATTCTCTTTATTTCTAGGGAGTCCGTGTTCCTAGTCTTTTCCTTGTGTTTAGTAAAAAGCACAAAGATAAACCAAAACGTTTTCTTCATATGATAAAGGCGCCTTATATCACTTTACTCATAAGGTCAAAGACATTGGAGAAGATTCCCGTTTTTTAGGAGCAGTAATGGCTTGAGTGTATGAGTCTTATCTCCACCAGTCTGAATATTCTGGAGAAAAAAGTACCTGGAAAGGTAGGAGTGAAGTAGAGTGCTTTCCTATCAAAGAAGATGATGCAGGACCCACAGAGCTGATGGATGTCTTTTTACACATTGTTTTGGAAGGAAGAGTTCCTTCCTTGTTAAGACAGTTCTCTGAATGTGAAACTAATTTTAATTCAGTTTTGAAAGGTAGTTGGTAGTGTACATTTTATAAATAGGCTTTGTTCTTGAGTCCTTTAGGACTCCAGTCTTTGCCTGTAATATGTCTGTAATTTATAGGTTGGCACTCTATAGGAAACTGAAAATGGTTTGATCCGTTGTTAGTGACATTTTAGCTGGATTTTTCCTTTTGATTTCCATATATGTTGTTTTGTTGTACTGAAAATAATAGAAAATGCATTATCACCTTTCTACCTTTCTCTCAGCATAGCAACTTTTGGCTTGGGAGGAGGCTTACATTTTTCACATTTAACTATGATCTCAGAATATGGCTTCAAGGCAAGTTTTGTTTTGTTCAGTTTGTTTTCATGATATGCTGGGATCTGCCTAGCATCCTATCTGGTCGGCTGTATAACTTGAGATCTAGTTATTCTGGTTTTTGTGTTCCCAGAAAGAAAGGGTACTGCAGAAATATTTCAAAGCTAGTCTTCTTTTTCTTCCCCCTTATTCATATCTTCCTGCCCTTGTAAGCATGTGTCTAGTAATTAGGTAAATGATGACTAGAGTGGAAAAGGTGCCCAGAACTGTATTTACCTTTTTTTCTTTTAAGTAGGGAACTTGATCTCTTTTGTGCACCTGAGGTTACTGAAGAACATCTTCACAGTACAGTGGAATATATGTTTTGTATACAAATAGTTAGGTCTTTGTGCTCCAGGGACATTTTAAAGTAATGATTTGATATTTGCATTTGGATAGTTTTGTAATTTAAAGGAAAGCACTGTGAAGATTGACCAACTCTGTCTGGTCCTGTGCCTACAAGCCCATACAAGCGTGCTCAGATACTTAGGGTAGCAGTGTAGGAAATCTTTCAGGCTCTGTGGGGGTGAGTGATACATCTCGATCAGGCACTGCTTAATTAGAGGACTTAGAGGAGCAGGTGAAGCTTAAAGAATGATTAAAAACTGGGAAACGAAAGTCTGGATGTGTGTGGACATAAAGAAAATATGCAAGATGATGTGAGAAGTATCAAGGATCATGAGTTCAGCTCCTGGATGGCTTTAAAATCCACTATGAACACTTTAGATGTCTTTGGATACATTTGGGAAAAATGGTGACTAAGTATCTCTAGGAAAATAATTTGGGTGCTCATGTGATTGTGTCCTCTCTTCCTTGTAGATACATCCATAAAGAATAGGATATATGTAACCAGAATTGCTGTGGGCAAATTCGCTTTCAGTTTTTTTCTTCTCTGGGTGCAGTCTTGGTTTTGGTTTACAAATTCTGTAGCCATAGTACACCTAGATTTGGAGTTGTTTTGACAGAGGTGGTGGGTCTATTCTTCCTAATCGTTGGTGACTACTCTTGATATTACAATCACAAGGGTAAGAGATTTTTAAAACTTTACCCTAACTCCCTAGATAGTTACTTTTGGGAATATTCTCTACCTACCTACCTATTTGTATATGCATATATGCAAGTGGATTTCTTCCATTGTAGATGATCCTGGGCTTTTCAGTTCCCAAAGCTACTGCATAACTTGGGATTCCTGATAAAAATGTGGGAAGTAAGGCTGTACTTCCTAGCGTAATGAATCTGAATCTTTAGGGATGATTCTAAGAGATTGTTTCTTCAAAATTCCCACTTACAATTTTGTACAGGTTTTTACTTGGATGATGGGTCATAACCCATATGGACATCTGCATGAGATGGTGTGCTTGGGAGATTTTGTTTTGGTTCATGATGTTGGGGAAATGTGGGT